AATAGATTTCTCGGTAAATCTATTTACCATGTGCAAATCTTCGGGAAATAATTTTTTTATAAAATGACTATAGTACTATTTGGGATCACAGAAATCATTGGAAAATGGTGTAAATATGATTTTAGTAGAATGCATTAACATTGAAGATATGTTTTAGAAATTTACCGCTTTTTTACCGTGTAATCAAACATGGGAAATTTAGATTTTCCGGAAAATATTTTTCCCTAGCTCAAATCAAACAAACCCTAAATGAAAATATAAATTTACATTAGATTTAACTCATTTAAGATGTAATTTACAAACATTTTTTTCCTTACAAAATCATTTTACTATAATCAATTTATATTAAATATTCATGAACTTTATCAAACCTAATCCCAATGGAAAGTCTATGGTGGTAGAAGTTGGTTAATATGTATCAAGTAGATGTATACAGTATACTATATGTACCAGCAAGGCAAAAATTGTATTGTATGTATAACAGTCAAAGATTGATGTGGACCAATATCATCTAATAACAACTGAAATTGCATTTCATGGGTAAAAGTGTTCATATACATGAACATTACATGATTGTTACTAAACTTTTAAATTTATTTTACAAGAAAATATCACTATGTACTACTTTTTTTGCAAAAGTTGTGGGGGCATGTGCCCCCACTAAGCTCTTCCTAAATCCGCCACTGATCTTATACTTCATTTTTGTCGCGATTCTTCTAATGCTGATGTAGGATAAAACAGAGACAATTTCTATAAATCACTTTTTCACTGCTTTCAATTGTAACTTTTTTTAATGTAATTAGTAATAGCTTCTAATTAGTGCTGTTTGTTGTTTTGTTTTGTTTATAGGATGTGGTTTCACAGGTCCTTCAGAGCTGATGAATGGTTATTATATGTGGTAAATATTCAATTCCATGGTTGCTTTTCTGTTTCCTGGTTTGGTTCCGGTATTTAATTTGTCTGCTCTTTTACAGATAGACAGCCCTTCTTCCAGTAATGCTCGTGGCTTCTGTACAGGTCGCATGTTTAACAGGAACGGAGAGGTAAATGTCTAGCTTAATAGTCAATAATATCAGAAGTTTGGATCCACTCCACTTTCCTTTCTTGAGTTCTTCTTCCAAAGCAAGTTCCTAATGGAAGGCTAATATTTATTTTGGCATGGGCAGCTTGTTGTGACATTAACTCAAGAGGGTCTAATTAGGACGGCTAAGCCACCAAGCTCAGTACCCAAGTCAAAGCTGTAGGCATGACAAACAGGGTAAGGAATTCATTCTTTTCAAATAATGTCTTTCTAGATGTTGGCTTCTCAAAAACTACTATTCTTGCTAGAAGTTTTGGTTGGAGTTTTGGATGTCGTAATTGTATTGTACTTGTGGTATCCCTGTCCATAAGATGTTATATACTTGTAAACTAACCCCTCAACCTTATTGATGGCGATTTCAGGTGATGTCAGTTGAGCGGTAAGCTGGTTGAGAATATTCATTTTTTCCCCATTTATGATGAATATCACATAAACAAATGGGCATATTTATTTGGAAGTACCCGAGGACAAGTTTTAGCAGAAACTGGGGTGCAATTGTTATTCACTTTAAACAAATGTTTATTATGTATAATATATATCCCATAAATACGGAGTGCTAGCAAAAACTGGGGTGGAAGAGTTATTTGGTTCCAGGCGATCTACATATTGTTTATGACGACTACTTGTTTAATAACAAATATTTCTGCGCTTGTAATGTGAAATGTAGTTCATTTAACTTCCAAATTACTTTCACTAAATGGTTCTTCTTAATGTTCATTGAGTCTTTACCCAAAAAAAAAAAAAATGTTCATTGAGTCATTGACGAAGAAGAAAACTGAAGAACACTTTACTGGATTGTATGTATGACTTGTCAGACTAAGGATTTGAACTTTGCAGTGTTCTGCTGACAGTGGACTGAATTATAAATTGCCATCAAGTGTGTATTTGGGTAAAACAGTACAAGGGTGAGCTAAGTGCAAATTGCAAATATCTTGAAGGCTAGGTTGGTAACAACACAAAGTACTAACTCACAATCTTATAATCAATCAAACATCAATTTTTGCAAGATCAATCAAATTTGTGATGAGATCGCGTGTTAAATCAATGGCCAATAGCTTTTTTTTTCTTTGAAGGACCATTTAAAGTTAAATAGAACTTGGAGCAGCTGATATGCCGTCACCATGTTTTGAATATTAGATACTAATCATCAACGTGTAGTGTGGTTAATCTGCTCCCAACAAAATTGGATTCTTTCTCGTTACCAAGTCAAAACAAACTTTGACGTCATACATTTGTCTCTAATATAAAATTCAAAAGTACTAAACTAAATTGGTCCCGGGACCAGAATCCTTTTGCTTTCAAAACAACAAATAAAGCACCGTTTTCTCCCATACGAAATACACGTGGTACACAGATATATACAGGATTTGATTCAGATAAACTGTCTACAGGACCAGAAATTAAATAAAGAGGACAATATCGTCTTTTAAGAGTGCAAGCAAATCTCTGAGAAAAAGAAAGAGAAATTTGATCGTTGTGTCTGTCTGAAAGATCGGAAGAAGTGCGGTTTAAGGAAAGAGGGCTGAGGGGGAAGGAAAGAGAGAGACAGAGATGGATGAGGCGAGTGAACAAGTGTGGATGTGAATTCAATTCCATATTATCTATAATCTCTATTTGAAAACCCCTCTTTTCCCGCCATAATTGTTGCTCTATCGCCCAAATCTTTTTTTTCCCATTTTCTTCCTCCCTTTCAACTTCATTTTTGGCTCACTGTCTCCCTTTTGACTCCTTTTGTCTCGCTCTTGAGGTTCGTATCATCTTCTCTTATCAACTTCAGCAATACCCAATTTCTATTTAGATCCAGTTTTATAGAGTTTTGTTTTTCCTGTTTTTTT